CAACCGCCCGTTATTGCTCAGGGGCAATACAGATGGTTCAAACTCAAATTCCCCTATTGGATAGACCGCCTGCCCATTTAAGGTAGTGATGATTCAAATAGAAATTGAATGATAAGTCCAGAACTTAGCATCTAAAAGTCATTCGGCAAATGTCGATCGGATACGGTCAATGATCGCCTGGTTAAAATATCCGGCTGCTCGATGGACGACTGTCCGCTTGGTTTGGGGCACTCACCATAGTGATTGATTGACTTGGAAATTAGTTATACTCCTTCAAGTATAAAAAATTTCTAAGTCAATCAACCCACTTTTGAAACCAAGCGCACATCCGTCCAGAGGCAAGAACATCTGGTATACCGCATGTATAAGATAAAAAGGCTACGCACTTAGCAAAATTTATGCATACACCTAATGGCCGGCTGTTTCGTATTAAAAACCGACCCAATGGTCAGTCAAAATAAAGTGTAAACCGATTTTACAATCGGTGAAGAAAAGAAAAATTATTAATCAAACCCGACTCCCCTGTCGGTAAAAATACATACATACTTGGCACATAGGCTGGAAAAGTAATTGTCAGGCCATTCGGCTAAAGAAAGACTTAAACTTGATCATCTTGAGAGGAGGACTCTTCTACATTCCCATCCGGCTTTTCATCAGCATCAGTCGGATGATCCCCATTATGCTCGATGTCCTCAATTCTCAGCCACATCTTCATCACCATCAGCCTCGCCATTTTTCTCCGCTTGCAGCCGCTCCTCGTCAAGCTTGTCAGTGGCCTGCTCAAAACGATACTCCCAGACGGAGTAGTCATCATTAGGATGCAAAGCCTTCCAAGCCATTTTCATCTGGATGACGCAGTCGGCCTCATTCTCCTCGACCAAATGCTTCTTTTCTTCCTCGGCCCTGGCCTGGTACTTCTTCCTCAGCTGCTCTTCCGATCCTAGTTGGCGAGTTTCTTTTTCAGACTCTTGTTATGGCGGTAGAGACTGTCTGTATCCCTGCTGACATCCCCAAGCTTCTCAAGCTCGGCCTTGGCTGACTTCGGTTTGCCCTCAAGCTTAGATACCCTTTTCTAGGTTGCCTTTAGCTTCTGCTTGGCATGCAGGTTGGCCTTGAGAATGTAGTATGTCCTTGGTCAGTGTGTCATTTTTCAAAATATTAAACATGGCCTTGTTAGTAGAAGAGACGACCTAGTTTTTGGCAGCCTTTACCTCTTTCTGTTTATCTTGGAATGGCTTCTTGAGCCCATTTACTCGCAGCATGGCCTACATCCGACAAAAGAAAGATCATCAATAAACAGACGGCATGAGAGGAGTTAGAAATATTTTCTAACTTAAAAACAGGTTACCTCAGCTAGCAGGGCGAAAATGGCATCAAAGTTGAGGGTGCCAACCCCCCTCACGGAATCCAGCTCCTCGGTAGAGATGGCCTTCAACATGTTCTTAGCGAACGACTGTATATTCGGCCTCTGGGTAGCATCTGCACATTCAACACTTGGTGAGAAGTTGACATAAGCCCGACCTATAGACTAGATGTCTTCAGAGCTGTTGGGGCGGTTGCTGATAAGACTTTACCCTACCGGGGTAAGGTAAAGGATTAAAGGCACTAATACCTGGAAGCTCAACCTCCAAGTCTTGAGGACGCCTGTCTTTGCGTCCGCCTAAGGTATGTCCGCCTGTTGCTGTTGAGCCGACAACAACAGTGAATGGCTTGCCACTCTTCGACGTCCGAGGGGTGTCCGGTTTTTTAAGGACGCTTCAGTGGCTTATCGCCAAAATTGAGGGGAACATGCGGCCTTGTTGATCCTTCCTGAAAATAAAGAAGTTAAGCTATCAAATTCAAGACAATAAGGTTCGCCTGATTGTGGCTGTTGTGGAAGACTTACATGTTCCAGCTGATCTTTCTCGAAGATCTGGTTTTTTGCTAGATCATTTGGCGATAGGCGGCAGCGGAGCTAGTAGGTTTCTTACTTGGAGAAAGCTGTGTCATTGCTTCTTCTGCAAAAAAAAAAAAAAAAAAAAAAAAAAAAAAAAAAAGAAAAAAAAAGCAAAGTGTCAGTAAAAAAAGAAAAAAAAAATTGCTAAACGGTCTCATCCGACCAGCTACCTTTAATTTTTTCTGTGCTAAGGTCTCAAGCGCTAAGTAAGTAGGGTCCCTTAGCCACTCAAACCTAGGGATGTAACTATGGGGGATTATCTCCTTTTCGTTCCCTCCTTCTATGATTTTGGTGGAGACCTTAAACAAACCAGGCGTCAAAATTTGATCCTAGATTTCATCAGGTACAGGCGGGAGGATAGCCTTCTGGCTTAGAAGGTATGGGTTCCTGTTCCAAGTGTTATACTTCCGGTTCCATCTGGTATCTGGCGAGGAGATGATATAAATTCGGTTTCGCCGGTCTTTCAATGTTGATTCCTTGCCCAAGGTCATCATGAACCCTTTTGTGGCAAGTTGTGGTGTATCACCCAAGGCCGACTGCCTTAGGAGCCTTGCTTAAGCCATGCATCGAAGCAAAGGCCTCAAAGCCCGGTTTCACACCAAGCATCTTACAGGCGATGACATACCCAAGAACGTTCAACAAGAAATTGGGGGCAAGCTGCAAAACCCCCAGGCGATATCCGTCCAAGATTTTCTCAACGTCCTCGTTAAGAGGAAATCTCAAGCCCGGTATCGCTGCTTCGTAACAGTCGAAGCATTTATCCCCATAACTCTGATTGAATGGCCAAACGACCGTATTGTCCTGGTCAGAGAAATAATTGCATATCCGGTCCCCATGACATAGGTGTCCCGGAATTTATCTAGCTTTTTTAACATATTCCTCTAAGTCCCAGCAAAGATATGGGTGAAATAAGGAGTGAATTCTTCTCGAGTAGAGGAAGAAGCCTTTCCTTGTCCTCTTTCAGGAGAGACGACCTCCTCCTCAAAGTCGGAGGCAGACTTAGAACTTTCTAGCTCTTTATGGGCCACAGGCAGCTCAGTTCTACCATTGGAACTGCCTGAAACAGCATCCGACTAGGATGGCCCTTGTTCAGAGCCGAATGCACTACCCATCATCTAACTCGTTCAGATTGGAGTCATCCGGCATGCTTAGAGTGCCAGGTGGGTGATCAAAAACTTCTTAGCACCCTAATAGTGTCGTTGTCCTCATCACCATTTACGGGGCCTTGGGCCGTCCTTTTGGTTCTGGCCACTATGTCCTGCATAAACACAGAGACGGTCGGATTCGAGGATGTTTGCAGAGGGGAGTCCAAGTGGGGGCAGGTGGCACTCCTAGTCCTAGATTCAGCCGTCCCTGGTGACCTGCTGGCAGTTTTCCTAGGTCGTGTCGTGTGTGTCTGTGAAACCATTTTGAAAACAAGGATAACAAACACAGACGGAAAACTAAAGAACAAGAAAAAGATAGAACAGGCGGTTACCTTGTATTAAAGCAACTGTTGGACCTTCTTGGGTCGGTTGTGATGCAGGCGGATCGAACTCAAGCGACAATAAGCAAATTCTCTCAAAAGTCAAAGATTCTCTCTCAAAGAACTTTCGTGAATATGCGAAAATGAGGGGGGTGAAACCTATTTATAGTGGGATAAAGTTTCAGGGGCAATTCTGAAAATTACCCTAGAAAGTGAACAATTTAAACACTGTACACCCTTGCATGTATGACACTTGTCACAGGTGTCACGTGGCGAGCCACGTCCCCCTCGTGAGGGGCAAATGATTTGGGATTTTTACCGTCGCCACGTGGACAAATAAGAGCGTAACATGTGTCACCTTAGAAGGAGTCCAAGTGAACCTCTCAGGACTTGACACGTGACATGCATATATTCATCAGGGGATGACAACCTTCAGGGCCCAATTACCGAGAAAGTTGCAAAGTGGCGCAGCCCACCAAATCTAGGTCAGACTGACCTAGAAAAGGGCGCATTTACCAATGACCCTATAAATAAGGAGATTTACCCCATTTTGAAGGCACGTTCATTTATTACAACACAATTAATTCTCTCACATCAGAGAAAACACTTGATCTCGGGATCTGAGAAGATCTAGTTTTACTTTCCGCACTTTTTTCCTTACTTTGACCGGTTCTAACTTGATCGTCGAAGGCGGAACTCTTACCAATAGGAGCTTTCGTAGTTTTGCAGGTATAGCCGGCAAGGAATCCAGTCTTAGTGACGTAACTCTCCCGAAGGACACAAAAAACCCCGAAACAAGATCTATAGGACATAGTACAGAAAATCCAATATTTTAAAAGCTTGGAACTATATATATATTTTTTTAAATGCTACCCCGCCCCTTAACGACAAACTCACTATTACTGGATACTATGTATAAAACCCAAAATTAAAATAGGCACTATATTATAGACTAAGGGAGTATTTTATAATTAAATTTAATTTAAAGTTTCTTATTACTTGTAGTTATAATTGTTAAAATGGTGCTCTTATAATAATAGAATAATTCCATGTTCAAAAACACACAATAGGGGTGTTAATAAGTGTGAGTCTACTTGTGAACTACTCGATGTTTGGCTCGGTCAGGTCAAAGCTCAGTGTGAGTGGGACCGTTGCGAGTTCGAGTTCGGCTTGAGATCTTAAAAAGCCAAGCCTGAGCTATCAGTTCGAAAGCTCATGGACAAGCTCGATTTTTTATTTATTTATTTTATAATTTATAACCTATGATATTTGAGTCTTGGGGTTTATTGTTATATTTTGGCCTTTTTAGAGGAAAAATATAATCAACAAATAGAATAATTTGATCAAAATGGGTAAATTCGAAACTAGATTGATCATTTGATAATCGAGTCTAGAAATGAGCTCCGAACCAAGCTTTTATTTAGGAGTTTCGAGCTCAAGTCAATCTCAATTTCTCAATTTTGATGAGCTTCAAACTCAACCCGAGCCCTAGTGTCGCGCTCGAGTCAAGCCAGGATGGTTAACACCCCTTAGACACAAACTACTACGGAGTATTCCTTAATAGTTTAGCATATTCAATTCGATCATTTAAAATTCGAGAATATTCAAGTTCATCTCCATAAAGTAGCGGTTTTGAACGGAGATTAATTGGAGCGACCTTTTAAAATTCTACACGGGTCAAGATATAGATAAAATCATGACCGTTGAATTATGTTGATGTAACTAACGGTCGCCGTTAATCTTCCTTCTACGTTATCTACACCCTTCTCTCTTCTCCATTGAAGCAGCTTCTGAGGTAAGTCATCATATTATCTTTTTTTTAATCCTTTTTTAAGTCATCATATTATCGTTGATTTGATTGTTGAACTTTGGGTCATAATTTCTGAAGTTATGGAAGATTATAACGATCAATTTTGTTGCTAGAATTTTGCTATGTGCAATATACATTGATATTCTTAAGGGAGAATAATTTAATGTTATTTTTAGAGCCTAATTTGATAATTGTGTCAAAATTTATTGTTATTGTGATTTTAGGAGCCTAATTTGATAATTGAGTAAAATTTGGTTGATAATTGGGTCAAAATTTATTGCAAGGCTGTTAATAATAGCGCTTTATTGTAGGACTGAACTATGAAGATGGACCTTTTCTCCCTCGGCCCCGGGCGGCCACCCCTCTTGCCCCGGCTCGGTGACGGACCTGATACTATTAATAAATTTCATGGTCTAGGAGCAAGATTATGGGGGGTTAGTTTGCTTAATGAGTCCGAAAGACGGCGAAAGTCTGTCAATTTTAGGACTATGGTTGGTAATATTGAAAATAGGTTGGTTTCTCAGCAAGGTGGGATTCCATTTATTGAGGATGAAGGTGTAGCACAACAATTGTATAATCCATTGGGTTCGAAAGGGGGTGGGATGAAGTTATGCTATTTAGAGGAAAGGGATGAAGGGGAATTGTCTAAACGAATTTTGGGTCTTAGTCGAACCAATAAGAGAAAGAGTGCAATGCAATTGTTTAGGTCGATGGAGTTTGCTAGATTACGGCCTGATTTACATGCCTGTAATTCTTTATTAGCTTGTCTTTCGAGGAATAGGATGTTGGATGATATGCTAAGAGTGTTTGCATTCATGAAGCGTGAGAAGATAATTTCGGGGCATTCATGTAGTTTAGTATTGAAAGCAGTTGCAAGTTATCGCGGTAGTGATAAAGCCTTGCAAATTTTTAATGAATGGGAGATTGAAAGTGAGATGAAGCAATGTTTTGATGCGATTGTTTATAATACTATGATTTCTATATGCAGTAAGGAGAACAATTGGGTTCAAATGGAGAGGATATGGAATTCTTTGAAGGAAAATGGGGTTACCGGAACGGAAGTTACTTATCGTCTACTTGTTTGTACATTTGTCCGTTGTGGTCAGTATGAGATGGCTATCCAGGCCTATGCTGAGATGCTTCAGAATGGACTAAATCCTGGCCGTGATACAATGCATGCTGTCATAGGTGCTTACACCAAAGAAGAGAAATGGGATTTAGCTTTAAATGTGTTCCAAAGTATGCTAAATTGTGGCTTGAAGCCAAATCTAATTGCTTGTAATTCTTTAATAAACTCGCTAGGGAAAGCCGGTAAGCTCAAAGAAGCATTTGGGGTTTATAAACATATGAAATCCTTGGGCCATACACCTGATTCGTACACATGGAATGCCTTGCTAGCTGCTTTCTATAAGACCAATCAATATGCTTTTGCTCTCCAGTTCTTTGAAAGCATACAGAAAGATTGGAGCTTTGAACCAAATTTACAGCTATACAACACTGCTTTAATGTGTTGCCAGAGGCTTGGTTTTTGGGAGAAAGCTCTGCAGTTTCTTTGGAAGATGGAAAATTCCGGAATGTTGGTTTCAACTTCATCGTACAATATAGTTATTGGTGCTTGTGAGGTTGCTAGAAAACCAAAAGTTGCATTACAGGTTTATAAGCACATGGTTCAGCAGAAGTGTGCCCCAGACACTTTCACTCATTTGTCTCTAATCAGAAGCTGCATTTGGGGAGATCTATGGGATGAAGTAGAGGACATTTTGAATGTAAGTTCATACTTGTTTGAAGTTGGCTATCTTTCTCTGGTATTTTAAGACTTTTTGGCTCAAGAATCTACATCTTTAAAAATTTCAGCTAATTTTAGAAAGAGTCTTGTGTATCATGCAACCAATTATTTGTCAAGCTTGGCATGCTTTTTTTTCCAACTCCAGTATGTAAACAATCATTTGAACTGGTCCATGTTAGATGTGTCAGATTCTTTGACTGGTTAATCTCTCTTATATCTTGTTCTATTATAATTTTTTTGTTGCCTTTTAATTTTTATTGTTTTGACTTCAAAATCCGTTGCTGTTCCCTTTAGCAGGAGTCATCACTTGATGTATCTCTTTATAATGCTGCAATTCATGGAATGTGTCTTAGAGGGAGGATTGAGTCAGCCAAGAGACTATACTTGAAATTGCGTGACGTTGGCCTTGTACCTGATGGAAAAACAAGGGCATTGATGCTTCAATATCTGCAACGTGTTAACTCGAGGCTGTTGAAAAAGAGCAGGTAGAAAAACTTGTTTATTGATATGTCCTCTTCTTTCCAAAAATAATATTCACATAAACTATCTTGGGATGTCCTAAAATAAACTCATCAATAGTGTACTGATATCTCGCTATACAGTATCAAAAATTCCTTCACTCTACACCTTTCTCTTGATTGGAGAAGAAAAGCCAGCATTGCTATCAGATTAGTTATGTTACTGTTTCTTTCAGAATATATGAAGACCTCTTATCATTTTTTGCTTTAAAGGTCGGCAATACCCGCAAAAAGACAGCGAAGGGGAGGGAGAAGTTAGAAGAAACAAGCCATGAGAGGCATCCTGTAAGCCAATTACAACTGGAAGTTGTAGGAGACTCTGTAACGTGGTGTTCATGAACTGCAGGGCTTATACAGACATGAATGCAGAAATCTATAGGTATGAAATTGTTGTTCTGAGTGCATCAATGAGCAATATTTGCTGACCAAATGTTTTTTTTATCACAATTTCTTTGATTCACCCTAATCTTTTATGCTGTGTCATTGCTAATTTAAATCGGATTAATCTGACATAGTAACTGAGTATGCGATGATTAATCCGATTTAAATTATTAGCAATGACTGAGTATTAGCAATGAATATTTAAATTATACTAACACGTTAAATACTTTCATGGATCATAGTGACTGAGTATGCGATGATTAATCCGATTTCTTTGATTAATCGGATTAATCTGGCAATACTTAGTCATTGCTAATTTAAGTATTTAATGTGTTACTATACTCAGTCACCCCAATCTAATTTAAATCGGATAATCATCGCATATCACAATTTCTTTGATTCACCCTAATCTAATTATGCGATGATTAGTCCCCGATTTAAATTAGATACTAGTCAACTGACATAGTAACTGAGTATGCGATGATTATAGGCCATTAGAAATTTGTGTCCTATGGGAGAGTTACGTCACCAAGACTAGATGCGATGATTACTCTTCGGGGTTTCTAATTAGATACTACTATAGAAATTTCATGGATCATAGTAACTGGGTATGCGATGATTACAGGCCATTAGATACTTGCTTTTTCTCATTGACTCTCTAATACTTTGAGTTAGCCAACTGACAACTTTTTTTTTTTTTTTTTTTTTTTTTCTGTTACTGAATTGTGGTTGGTTGTGTGAGAAATGTTGTATTTAATTTTTATTTTGTCAAACAGTTACAAGTGCCAATTTTATGCTTGGCTAATCCTAGAGGCAGGTTACATGTGTTTCAATTGTTATTGTTCACTTCTTTCTGGTTTCAATCTTCAATTTATAAAAATTAAAAAAAAAAATTTAAAAAATTATTTTTACGGTTTTTCAGCTCAATTATTCTGTAGATGCAATATATACTGCGAGTATTGCTTCTCTAGGTTAATATAAAACATTGATTATCTAGGTGTTCTCTTGTGAGTTATGACTTGTGAGTACTACTAATTAGCTGTCAACTCATTTCCTTGGTCAATAATTTGCATATTAGTTGAGTATATTGTATAGCACCTTATGACATAAGGATATAACCAACTAAAGTCAAAACTCTAGGGCTATTACAAAAGGATTATAGTTAGAAGGTTCTGCAAAATCACTTAAGCTGACAGAGGGTTAAGCTTCAATCATCTCATTTATCTCAAATTTTATAACTTTATGTAAGATTTTAAAAATTTTGTCCTGTTACTTCTCATTTTTTTGATGCTATGTACTATAATTTTAAAGATTTTAAAAATTATTGATAATCATGACGTTAAATCTCATCCAACTGAAGTGGTCTACAAGATCTTGATCTTCAATTTAAGAAGGGAAAAAAAAAAAAACTATTTCCTTTACATGTTTGCAAAGCAGTCTTGTGGTTATTCCTTGATTGTGCGTTCAAGACTTCTACAGTTTACATTTTTTGCAACTGGGATCAAACTTTTGGTTAGAATTTTTTTTATTAAATATTCATGTTCTTGAACATCTTCTTAATATATGAATGAAGAGTGCAGTCTCCTCATCATCATCCTCAGCCTTAAGTGCAAACACTTGGTTCTTAGAAAATTCAGAAATTTGGTAACCAATTGATGTTCGCAGGCCATTAAGTAACCTGCAAGCTGTTCCAACTTCCAAGTTGAACTCGTTTGTTTCTTGTAAAGCCATCAACATAACCAACCAGGGAATTTGTGGTAGATTATGTAGTTACTTTTGTACCTGTTCCTTTTGGAGATTTAGGCCTTGTTCACTTCACCTTAAAAAAATAATATTCAGTAAAAATAATTTAAATTCAGCCAACAATAAGTTCAATTCAACAAAAATGAGTTCAGTTCGGTAAAAATCAGTAACTTTAAAGAAGAAATATAACATAAAATCAGTAAAAATAATTTCAGTTCAGCAAAAATAAATTCAGTTCAGTAAAAATAATTTAAGCTTAGCAAAAATAATTTCTATTCAGTAAAAATAATTTCAGTTTAGCAAAAATAAGGTGAAGTGAACAGGGCCTTAATCCTTACTAGGAGATTTAGTTCATTAATGATATCGATGAAGGTAATAAACATGTCTTCGATTGATTCCTTAGGTTTCATAGAAAACAATTCAATTGATGTTTTAAAAAATTCAATCTTAGATCATTCAACTACACTTGGACTTTCAGGAGTTTTCGTGTTACAAATCGATCTTTGATCTTTTGTTGTCATATCCTTTTCCAATGTACGGAGTAATTCTAGTTTGGTCTTTGAATGGGAACAAATTTCCTTTAAATTCAGTATATGACTGGTATACTAAGTTTTCTGCTTAGCTTATTGACACAGTAAAAAAAAATCTTCTTTTTTTTTTTTTATATACTTACTGTCTTTTATCTTCTTTTTTTATTTTATTTGATATGTTACTTTGCATCTGTGTTGAGAACATGCTTATCATTGCAGTTGGCAAATGGTGGATATGACCAAGGACCTGCTCTGCTTGTTGATAAACCAACTGTCGTACTTTCTGTAGCCGGAACATATTACTTGCAGAAACTGAGAAAATAAGGAGTCAGGAAGGTCCTTCATGCATTCAAAGAACTAGGATTACAGTATTGAAAGTCATAACCGATGGATTGGCAGAGTATTGATTGGCCAAAAAGACCTATCATCTTCATTTCATATGAAGGTAAATGAAAAATTGTCTTTTATGATCATATATGAAGGAAAACAGTTTAACTTTTTTTATTAGTCCTCTATTTTGCTAAGTGATTATTTACATGAGATATTGACATTGTTGATTGGCCAGAAGAAGCAATTGAAACTATTCTCACTTCCAGAGCTGGCAAGTTTCCAACGTCTTTGACATTGTTGATTGGCCAGAAGAAGCAATTGAAACCTATTCTCAGTTCCAGAGCTGGCAAGTTTCCAACGTCTTTCCGGTTAAATAGACATAAAGATAGTGTCACCTTCTCAGGATGAGAGTCAGAACTAAGATTCAGCCATCATGTTGGATGAAGTCTCTAAGGAAAGTATGCATGACAGGAGCAGTGATTTTATTGATGATGTTGCACCTGCAGATTAGGAGCCAAAGTTCCAACATGGATAATTAAGGCTCCATATGAGTACATTAATCAAGCAACATTCCTAGATCTTGTAACAGTTGTAAGTAAAGAGTTTGGGATTTTGGATCCTCATCAATTCTTCAATGTTCATGCAATTGCGTCTGCCTTGGATGTAGATCTGATGATGCAAATTGGTGAGTTTACAATCAAATATGTCTCCACTTTGTTGACATGAACTACTACCATTTGAACACAACCATGGTTGCAGAAATTTGATCTTGGGCTAGGGGAATCGAAAAGTACACATACTCTAGTAATACAAGGAAGTCACAATTTTTACAGCAACTAACTTTAAATAACTGAAATTCACGGTTTTTTTTCCCCCCAAATTATCTCTTTATAAAAAATACTTTAGCGAAGTTTATGAAAATTTAATGAAAATTAGTGAGTGAGTTGAATTTCAAACATTAAATAACTTAATTTTGAGATGATTTAGAAGTTCTATATAATTTTAGAAAATTCGAGTTATATCCATTATAAATAAAATTTGTCATTTCCCAATTAAAAAGTGTGGGTACAATTGTCATTTGTTAACAGACATTTGACAGACAGACGTTAAGAATTGCAATTGACCATAGTTAACCACTTAACCATGGTAACCGACCACCATTACCACTACATCATCTTCCTCCTTTAATCCATGATTAAAAAAAGTGAACTGCTAAACATCACTCGTAAATCTCTACATAAGCCCACAAAAATTAGGTGAATTGACGCTTTTGCCCTTATTTGTTTTAAAAGAAAAAAACTCATCCTCTCTCCTCTCTACTCTCACTTCTCTCCAAAACAAAAAAAAAAAAAATTCAAACTACGACAATGTCGAGGCGACAAGACAAGATATTGGTGGCGGCAGAGGCGGAGGGAAGGCGGTCACACGGTGGCAAGGTAATTTTTTTTTAAAAAAAATTAAAAAAAAAAAAACCGCGAATAGGGCGGGGCGCCTGCCCAGGACGCCGTGGCCACGGTGGTGGCGCCCAAGCCAAATGCTAGTCCCACGGTAGCGGTGTCTGGTTGGGATGCCAAGGCCACAGTGGTGGCGTCTTGAGAGGGCGCCGCCGCCGTGGCATTGGCGTCCTGCCCAGCCGCCGCCACCATGGGGCTGGCGTCTGGCTGGGACGCCCCTCCCTTTTTTTTATTTATTTTTTGTTTTTTTGTTTATGTGTATATTTTTTTTTTCAGTTTTCTATAAAAAAAAAAAAAATTCAGAATTTTTGTTTTGTTTATGTTTATATTTTTTTTTTTCAATTTTTTGTATATTTTTTAGTTAATTTTTTTTTTTTTGCAAATTTGTTGTATTTTTTTTTGTTTATATTTCCTTTTCAATTATTTGTATGTTTTTTGTTTATTTTTATATATTTTTTTTTCCAATTTTGTTGTAATTTATTTGTTTTATTTTGTAATTTTTTTTATGTTTATATTTATTTTGTATGTTTTGGTAATTTATTTTCTTTTTATTTTGTTTTTTATTTTTTTTTGCAGTGTTTTGTTATTTTTTTAATGTCAATGTGTTAGTATTTTCTTCGTTAATTTGATTTTTTTTGGTTAGTTATGTTTTTTTAAATTTTTTTTATGTTTATGTATGTTTTGGTTATTTTTTTTATATTTTTTGTATATTTTTTTTTATATTTTTTTTTCAGTGTTCTGTTATTCTTTTTATTTATGTCAATTTGGTAGTATTTTTTTTGTTTATTTGATTTTTTTTGGTTAGTTTTTTTTTTTAAATTTTTTTTTTTATGTTTATATATATCTTAATTTTTTTTAATGGAGTTAGGTATCGCATTTTCGACCTGGTGCGGGGAAAAGTAGAATTTATTAGAAGTAGAAACTACTCAATGGAGAGCTCGGGGCCCAGACATGTTAGATCCCGTGGTATTTCGGCCTCGGCTCGCAAAGAACGGGTTCACCATCCTGAGGAGGATGAAGATGATGATGGTGATGAGGAGGAGGAAGAAGATGCAGATGAGGATGTGGACGACCAGAGTGGACCATATGATGATTACAGTTCATTCAGTCAGAGGCTTGATGATATGTATGAGACACATAAGGTAGATGTGCGTAAGGGTAGAGATGGTAGATTTGTTAGTAGATCTGGCACATCATCTGCGTCCACTGTGTCTGCGGTAAGCAGAAAACGATCAAGGGCCGTTAATGATTCTTGGGTGGTGAGGGGTGAGGTGGTTGGGGGACCTGTAGACGGGAGTGTGATTCCTAGTTTTCTAGGACACATAGCTACCCGTATCTGGGAGGACCAGGAGAGGGCTTTTGATATTGGCATTTTGAAATGCCAAACACAGGAAAAGACTTGTAACTTTTTGTGTAGATGGGCTGAGGCTTGGCCGGAGGAGAGCGTGATGTTCAGCCGATTGCAGGGCACTAGAGTGAGTCACCTTCCTACCACTATGCACGATAAGATTGACTCAACGCTGATCACGGCTTTCGTTAAGCGATAACAGTCATATACGAACTCTTTCCACCTTCCGTTCGGTGAGATGACAATCATGTTGCATGACGTCGAGGCCATCCTTAGGATTCGCGTAGAGGGAAAAATCTGTTGTGACTGATGCGGATCATATAGATTTGCTGGCGGAGCTGTTGGCGGTGGACAAGGCTGCGCTATACACCGGCGTGCTTGGTGTTTGGGATCATGGCGGTGTGAAGATCGCATCCGTCTTGCAGCGTTGTTTGCACCCCACTGCACGTAGGACGCATGACGCACAGCTGGGTGCATATGTTTTTCTTCTCCTCTGGTGTACCTTGTTTCCAGATAAAAGCGGAAACAAGCTCAGGCCACGCGACATAGTTGACGTGTGTGAGCCCAACAGAGTGGGCCAATTTTCTTGAGAGTCGGCTACGTTGGTGTATCTGTATCGCCAACTAGGATTTTCGAGTCGGGCTGATGCGGCAGGTATCACTGGATGTCTGACTTTATTACAGACCTGGGTATACGAGTATTTTCCTGCATTTCGACCACACCGCGACCCAGTTCCTATTGGGGATGGGATGTCATGTGCCAGGGCGTGGAGTCCGGGGTTCGATAAGAAGTCCGTTGACCGCCTCTGATTGCTACAGTTATTGCTTGACATGATGTCCCCCTTAGAGGTAAAGTGTATAAATTACTTCTAATATTATATTGTGATGCATTTATTATATGAATCTTACTAATTCAAAAAATGTGCAGGTGAACTGGATGCCTTTCGGCCAGAACCCTAGTAATGGGGTACCCAGGACCCTCTACACGAGACTCATTTAGTATTGTGAGATCGTAGAGGCATACATTCCCCAGCGCTGTCTTCAATAGCTTGGATTTGTCCAAGTTGTCCCTCCTCCACCAGCATGGCCCAGTAAGGCGGTCTGATCTGCGTCGTCGAAGGAGTACGTCGTCCAATGGTCGAAAAGCATGATTGCCACGTGGGAGCAGTTTCCGATGGTTGCCCGCCTATGGACTGCGGAGCTGCAGAAGCCGCCAACTAGGGTGACTGCCATGTGTGACCAGCACTACATGGAATGGTGCAGCCGGTATTCGCACCTGAGGTTGATCCGAGACCTCGACCATGTCGACGACGCCGATGATCATGATGTGCCACCGCCCACTGCCGTGGATGCGGTATGTCTCATAAAACATTTATTGTTGTGTTCTTTTTAAGCATTATATATCGTTATTTAATTTCATGTTTTTTTGTTGTGTGTAGTGGATGGGAAAGATGATGCAGGTGGGACAAAGACTCTCTCAGGAGAGGGACAACATGACGACTGCATCAGGTAGAGCTGCTATTGATGATTTGGAACGGGCTCTTGCGCAGTGGCAGTGGGCGTCAAAGAGGGATTACTAATCTGTTGGCAGTTTATGTATAAAACATTTTTTACATTATCATAGTAGTTTATAAGATCGGACATTATCGTTTGAGTTTGTAACATTTGACATTATCATTTTAAGTTTTTAAAATTTGACATTAGCTTTGTAGTTTGTATCGCGCAAATACTAATTAGTATGCATGAAAGATATAAATTTAGTTAAAATTAGAATACAAAAAATAAATGTCTGTATAAAAATAGCAACACAAATACAAGGTTACATAGAAAAAGTGTACGCATGAAATACTAACAGACAACTAGGTTGTTCCATTGATGGATCCGGTCATGATACAACACATCCCAACCCTCTACGCTTAGTGTGCGAATGGTGTACCACCAAGGTATGATCGGTGGCACTGAAAAATCGGATGACAGGTCCAATTGGATGAACTGTCTGTATAATGACCCCAAAAATGCAATAGCTAACTCTCTTACCGGTCTAGTGACGGTCTCATGCGAAGACCAAGGGAGAACCGTGGTACATGGATAATAAGCTCGACTATGCAAACCAAGCCCGAAATGCATGACTGCACACTTGTAGATGTTTGCAACGGCAAAGAGATCAAGTGGCGCGTCGAACCAATGATTTTGACCATAAGGTCCTCCTCCCCACCGGATACGCCGCAGAGAACTATCCAAGTCTTGGCCGTACACATGAAGATAAACATCTCGGTTTGAGGCAATTTCATTGTACATCAACTGACGCACTAAAGCATAGTTGTCTTCACCACCCTGAAACACATCTGCCACGACCTGAAATCCACAGTTACCATCTGCAACTAGGGGTGTTCAAAAAAACCCGACCCGGTTGTCCCGTCCCGATTTCCCGACAACCCGCAAAAAACTCGACGGGAAATTTTTAAATTTTTCTGTTTTTTCCGAGTCGGGTACCCGTCCCGATAAAATAACACTTTCGTGGGCCGGGACATGGGACAAACCTTGCTATTCTCGGGTACCCGGATACCCGTTAAAAAAAATGAAAAACCTCAAAATAAGTTACGGATATTCACAACCCACCCAAACCAAGCCATCCCATCTTTTTTTTCTTTTCAACTTCATCCTTATGACCTTCTCTTTCTCTCTCCTCTTCCCCATGTTTCTTTCTCCCTCCTCATGCTCTCCTCTCCCTCTCCTTCTTTCTTTCTCTATTCTTTCTTTCACCTTTTCTCCTCTCCACCCTTCTTTCTCTTTCCTCTATTCTTTCTCATGCCTCTCTCATTCTCATCTCTTTTTTTTCTTTTTTTTCGGTTTTCATGGTAAAAATGAAGGTTTTTGTTGCAAAATCGATATATGACCAAAACGAAGGTTTTAATGGTTAAATTCG